AGTACGTTTTGAGTTTTGATCCGGTCTATTTGACTTTTTACTAGATTTTCATGAGATTTGACTTAAATGGGTCATATGTTGGGTGCGTATTTTAGCATGGTTATATATGAAATTTATGGGTACTTGACCTATTCAGCTCAAATTTTACTTGTAACTGAAAAAGATGATTAAATATTGGATATAAAAAATACATGTTAAATATTAAGTCAAGTACTAGATATGAGCATCCAAACCTATATACTTGATTTATATACTTGACTCATATTAAAATATATAAGTAAAAATTTGCTTACACATAAATATTAGATATTATATTTACACAAAATTTTAATTATTCATTTTTTTCATTCTTTTTTTACTTTTAATTGTTTAGATTTATTTATTTTTATTATATTTATTAAAAATAATTATCTTTTTATCTAAAAAATCATAATAAATCTTAGTTATTAAAAGTAGAAAGATGAATAATTAAAATTTTTCATAAATATAGTGCGTAAAACTTTTATATAAACAAATTCTTATTATATATATAAAACTATTTTATCATTTGAATTGTAAAATAACGACTCTCAAATGAGGGATGGACCTCTAACATTGGAACCCTTTTCCCATTAGAGAGTCCTTGTTTTACATTCCAAATTATAATACATTAGACCCATATATATATAGAGGGAGAGAGAGAAATAATAGCTATTTGCCTTTTCTCTTTAAGATAAAGAGGAAAATTATTACAAAATTATGTCATTTCAATGAGCGCTTATTGAAAAAAAAAATTAAAATACCTTATTTTTAAAGTATGAATTAGAGTATTTTTAATCTTTTCTCATGATGTTTTATTAAAAACAACTTAGTTAATTTTGAAATAATTTTTTTCTTAATCTTTAAGAGATAAGACGAATAAATATTAATTCCATATAAATATATATGTATATATGCATGCACGTTATGTATGAAGCAAGTAAATTTTTAATTTCATCTTTAGTAATGTTTTTGAGAAACTTATAAATCTCCTTAATACATATGAGTATATTAGTTTTTTTTTTTTTTTGTCTAATTATAGAAATAAGTTCTACTTTTATCTTTCAAGAGCAATCAGATTTGGTTGAATCGTAATTGCAAAGACAGTTAGCAACAGATGAGTATACTTTTGAATCTTAAAACTAAAATACTTAATTAATTATATAAAAAGACATCATTATAATTTGCAAAAAGCTGTTTAACTACACTAGAAATTTGTAATTTAATGATCATATTCTAGTTCTATGCTTAATTTTGGAATATAATGTCATAAAACTAGAATGTTTATTTTTTTTTTCTTCATGCAGGGAAGATTGCAATGAAGGTAGATTTTATAGAGTTTTGTTTGTATATATTTTTTTTATATGTATAAACTTGTATTTTGTGTTTCAATTTATTTATTTTGTTATAAATATTAACTTTTTGTATATATACTATGTATAAAGTATGTGTTTTTTTTATGCTAACTAAAGTATGTGTTTTAAAATATGTTTAATTATGTTTTAATCTTTATCAAAAGTTATAATATTCAATAGGTATACTAATATACCTACAAGTATATAAGTACCTAGTGAACTGGGTAATATATATAAATTTTTAATAGCTAAGTTCCAAATATCAAAATCTTTATTGGTCAAATCAAATACAAATATAAACAAATACCTAATTCATACTTATATATGAATACCTAATTCGTATGGATGGCCTTAAGGCCCTTTAACTCTAGTAATGGATTAGGCTTTGTTGCTGTTGACCCTTTCAGAAATCGGAAATGTGGCCGTCTATTTTTAGTCTTCTTGGCGATATAGCCAAGTCCCTAAACCAAGTACCAAATAACCAAGTCTCTTTTAACTTTAAACTGATTTTGTTATTCGATTTTTCTAATACATGCCCTTTAAATGTATTAATTATACTTTTTTATTATAAATTGTTATGCACTTGTTATTGGTGTTTAAAAATAAAATTAATTTTTTTTATACAAATTAATGATAAATATGTGCAATTAATATATCATTAACCTGCCCTTAGTTATAGAATCATGTGCATAAAGCATATTTGCGGATTGGGTGGGTTATCTTCCATCATGTGATCCAAACTTAAATAAAAAACTGTAATGAGAATGAAATTTTAGAGATTGCCTTGCAAATTTTTTATATCTTGTGAAATTGAGTATAGGGGACTGAGCAAAAAATCATTGTCAAATTTGATAGAAAATCACTAGGATTGCCTCCTTGCAAAATCAATGAATCTCTAATGTACTCTAATGTACTCAAGCATGGGAAGATCAAAGCATAGAGCATCCAATTATTATTAAACGAGAATGAATTTAATAATTTCCCAGTAGGAGACACTACGGAAAGGTGCTTTCCTTTTGCTTTCTTTCTTCATTTGCAAATCAAAAACACAAAGGAGGTTTCTTTGTTACTGTTTACCACAAAACAATGATTCCAAAGAAGCTAAGCTGTGCTCTTCACAGCATCAGGAGACATTAGAGACTGAGCCGGTTTCAGCAAAGCGACAGCTCCTCGTATAGTACTTGAGTACTTCCTATGCACAGCCTGAAGCCTGTTTTCTGCAGCCTTTGAGTGGAAGTACACCAGCAGCTTAGCACAATCCCTGAAACATATTTAACAAAGAACAATGTGTTATTAAAAACAACAATGTCTTGCTTCTGCTGCAAGAAAAAGGAGAAACTAATAAAAGAAGGTAGTGGTTACTTACATCAGTTGTGCTTCTGAGTAACCAGTATGATGCTTAAGGGTGTCAGTCCAGGCAGGCTTCAGGGACAGAGTGCATCGTGCTGCGTAGACTGCTGAGGCAGCAACCATTGATGGGCAGAACATTATGGTCTCATACTGCATCAGACCCAACTCAGCCAGGAAGAAAACCATGTTTTCTATCTAAAAAGAACAAGTGAAAATGTGCAGCAGCAACTAAATTAGTAAGCTTTTCAATCTAAATTCAGTATGATTAGAGAAGATTGATTAGGTAAAGAAGTATAGACCTTCTTCTCGTCAGGAATGGATGCCTTGAGGAAACGAACAAGGAACACATAATGTGTGGGAACTGTCAAGGTCCACTCCAGCTTTCCCAGTATCGTTTTCTCCATGACCAGTATCTGTTGATGAGTGTATGCTCTATCTGCTATACACACCAAATCATTTACCTACCCAAAACCAGTTTACACAAGGTCAGCCAATATAAATACAAAGCAACAGTAACATAAAGAATGTAAATACTGTATAAATATACCTCAGGGGCCCAGATTTCTTCATATTTTGAGGCCATAAGCATGGAACCCATACCAACCAGTTGCAATTCCCTCCTAGGCACAATCTTAACAGAGAGGAACCGGTCGACTATGTTGATGGCGAGATAGAGGGTTTCAGGGGAAAGCTCAAACTTGAGATGGACATCAACAAGCCAATCAACAAGAATGGCTCTCATTTTCTCATTCATGTCTGTTTGGAGATGAATGTAGTCAGTAGGCCTGCTTTCATTCTGCATTGCACAATCCCAGAAATGTCAATACAATGTGTGTAGAAGACACGCAGATATGTGAAAAGGGTAAAGAAGATATGGAATGCATACCTCAACGGACTTGTAGAATTTGTAAATGTCTTCAACATATTCCACCCCAGCTAAGTCATTGCCAGCATCTGCTGCATCAATATCAACAATCTCCTCCTTTGGTTTCTTTGTAATGCCACAAGCAGCCTGAGATAACATCAATCAGAATTCAGAATGTCCCCCAAAAATTTAAGGTGTAAAACCCAAACCAGGGAAGAATTCAAAACAAAATGTGGGAAAATTCACCTTGCTTCGAGCAGTAAGGACGGCAGTAAGAGTGGGAGCTTTCTTCTTGGATGATCCTTCTCCTTCCTTTTTGTTGTTCACCTTCTCTTGTTTCTCCTTCTCTTGCTTCTTATCCTTAACCTCATCTTCTGCATTAGGACTAATTTCAATTACTTCCGTTGCCTTTGGCTTCATAACCACCTTCTTCTGAGCCGGTTTGGGAACAGCCGCCTTTTTTCCCACCACAGCTCCATCGAGAAGAACAGGAGCTGCTGCTTTATCCACATTAACACAAACATTTTTCTGCAATTCAAAGAAAACCCAGAATCCAATTTGAGAAATAGAGCAAATAACAGAATGATATCAAATAAAATTGCATCCTTTTCCCTGAATCCTTGTCCCAAATCCTTAAACTCAACATGAAAATCCCATATTTCTCATTTCAACGAAACCCAATTCCTAGAAACTTGTTCGAAACCCTTAAATCTCCAAGAAACATAAGCAAGAGAAGGAATTATGTTAAAAGGGAATACCTTGTTCTCAGCGGCGGCTGCAGCTTGTGCATTCGCGAGTAATTGTGCGCAGAAACTCCTGTAATTTGTCCATAAATAGCCCAAGAATCAGCCACGGAAAAAAGAATAACAACTGAAGGTAACACAAGGACACAGATTTGTGTGGGGAAGGGTAAAGACCTTGTGAGGGGACGAGAAATCTGAGGCTGGGGCTTGCCTTCAGCTCCTCGAAGAGTAACCAGATTTCCAATATCCCCGAGGGCACGACGGTTTCTACCTTCACCGGCGGCGTTCTTCTTCATCTGCTTGTTTCCTCCTCCAACTGCCTCACCTATAAAAGAGAACCCATGACTAATCCATCATCAAGATAAAGAAGAACACATGGTTTTCAAAGAAAAAAAAAATCCCCAATGAAATACCAAATCCCCAAATCAAGGGAAAAAATTACACCCCAAAAGACTTTGAAATCAAAAGGATTATTAAGAACCCATGAGAAAGAAGAGCAAATAATGTTCATCGGAAATTTGGTATACAATCATGAATACCCATGAGAACGATGGAGAGATTGATCCAACCCCAATACTCAGAAATCTTGAGAAAGGAAATCAAAATCTCAATTGGAACAGAATCATGAAAATCCTTAAAAGAAAACAGAGTACCCCATCAAGAGAAAGACGATGATGCGAATACCTCTAGCTTGTTGGGGTACGATGGGTCTTGAAGCCATTGTTCTTCTCCGATTCCTTTTTCTTCTTTCTCTGCTTCTGGACTAGTCGGTAGTATTTTCCGATGGGAAGAGATGAGAATGAGCGGAAGAACGACAGAAGGAAGGGTTTGCTTTTGAAGGGGAGAACCGACGCTTCACTTGCAACGGTCGAATTTTTCCAACCGTTGGATGATCTCTCGCTTGATCCAACGGTGAAATGCCTCTCCAATTATAGCCGTTGGGAGAGCCTCAGTGGGGCGAAAAGTTACCGTTGGCGCCTGTTAAAATAAGGTAATACTAATACCACACTATAGTATTCTACAGGCACGTTGTTATTACAGGTAGTAGCACTGAAACTTCATGAAACCTGCTTTTTTCAAGACACGTGGATCTTTGCAGCCTTAAAAAACCCTAATTGAAAAGTTGTTGCCTTCCTCTTTTTTCTTTTTTTTTTTTCAATAAAAAATGGTTTTCTCCACACAGGAATATAATGCAACCTGGCTATCACCTATAATTACTTTAAATAATGGTTTCTTTTTCTGCAGAGTGTAACCTAATTCAAACATTATATAATATCAAGTTTTTTAATCAAAAAATTCTTTTGTAATTAAAATTATACTAAATTATAAAATAATGACTCTTAAATTAAAAAGAACTCTTTAAGATAGAGCCTTTATCTCTCAATCTAAGGGCTTTGATTTTACAGTTTGAATTGTTTGGACTGCAAATTAAGAAA